TAGGCATTGCTGGAAACCACGTGCATGCCTGTTCCATCTCTACAATGTTCTGCTAATAACGCACAGGCTCACAGGCAGACAGCTCTGCATTGTGGGAGATTCCTGAGGTGCAAAGACCAAAATATTTTGTCTTGTAAGTTTGCCCAAGCCATCTCCATTGAAAGGGCAGGAGCATTCCCAGCACCACAGCCCTGTCTTCTGGTGTGACTGGAGTGGAAATGTCCTCTGTCTTTAGTGAAAAGTATTTCAAAAGCTGATTAGTGTCATTGTTAAACATGAAATATTTTTGTTATGCATTTTTTCTAGCTTCTGCTCTTGGTTGCTCAATCACTTTGTCTCTGCTTTGATTGAATGAAGCCTTTGGTGTCAAGTATTCTGTTTGTAAACTCTTTCAGACTGTGATGACAAACCTGCGTTATAAACACGTGTGTGCATTGCCCTACATGTGTTGATAGTATCTCAAATAGCTGCACTTAAAATAATAAGAAAATAGTAGGGTGTTTGTTTCTTGTGCTTCCATTTAGTCTTTCAGCTGAGATGAAGTCTTGCTGGTTTTATACAAGTTCCTTTCAAATGCAATATTGTTGCTTAGGTTTCTGAGTAAGGATGATGCTTAATTCCTGTCAATTAAAAACCTAGAGGGAATGAAGTGATCCTGGTAAATTTTTTTTTAATGCTGGAGCTGCTTAGTCTGTGCAGTCAGCAGGGAATTTGTTTGTGTTGATGATGCATTTCTCACCCTCCAGGCTGACTGTTGCACTTGTTAATGTGAATAAAGTCACAACACAATATAAGAGCACACAGGAAGGTTAGGTGACTGTTGTAAACTGGTCTGTAGGCTCCCTTTCAGCTTCTCCAGCCTGAGATAGGAATGCCAGAGGTCAGCAGGGTGGATTTCTCCTCTCCATCAGCTGGAAGGCCATGGAGAGCAGATACGAGTTGGACACCCAAAACAATGAAAGGAGGGAGACAACTCCTACTGGGGATGACCATGATTGTGGTCTGTGGAATGCCAGGAGCTCACAGCTATGGTTCAGGGATGTAAGACAACCTGCTGTGTGATACGAAGTCTGAAGGAAGGTCACTTTTCAAAGTTTAATCAATTCTGATGGAAAAAACCCCCAAACAAACCCCAAAATCCCAAGCAACCCCAAGGTAAGCCTTCAAGCACACAAGCCTTGTTTTCAGTGTGCCCATGTCTGTGTCATTGTGGCTACAATAATGCTACCACAGGAGTATTTGGGTGAGCTAAGAATAGCACATTTCCTTGAGAAATGCTTTTGTTTATTTTGGTTTTGTATTTTTAAATAGTTGGTGCCTTGGTGACCTTTTTCTGAAGGGTCCTAGAAGAATAGCCTGATCAGAGAGTATTGTTGCAGTAAGGAGGGCAGTTGGGAACTGCCTTAATTCTATGCCTTCTTCCTTGTGAGCTGCAGGGATTTACTGGCAAAATGAGGGAAAAAAAAGTCATGAAGTTGTCACACCTCTGAACTTTGCATAGTTGAGATCAGCAGAGATGAAGGGATGAGGAACTCTGAGGATTGAAGGGTACAAATGCCAGGAATGGAAACCCATGATTCTGGGTTGGTAGAATGATGTCCATCTTAGAAGATATATTTTTGCAAAGATTTGCCTGCTGGAAACAGCAGTTATGCTCATGGTCTGGTTTCTTTTTTTGGGAGGGGTTGTTTTCAGGGTTTAAAGGGTTTTTCTTTTGAATGAAGGAAATAGTAGTGAGAAGGAATGAATGAAAGGTAGTTGCACCTGAGGAGGCTGGAGCAGAATGGTGACAGACTGAGAAAAGGCAGCAAGTCTGTAAGGAGAAGTGATTAAAGTATCCCAAGTGAGACATTTATATGCACAAAAAGTAAGAGGATCAAAGCGTCATGTTTAAGACAAAAGGAAGATATGTGTTTGGATATTTTTTTGTGGGTAACCAGTGCCTGTTGGCTGTGTGACAGGAAGGCTGTAAGCAAGACAAAGCAGGGGAATTTTACTTTCAGTGAAGCTGTGATTCAGTGCTACCCTTGCTGTTAGATGGGCACAGACTAAAATTACAGGCTCAGAGCAATTGTGTCCATGAGCCAACACACTTCTTTATCCTGTGATTAAACGAGAAAAGGAAAAAAATAGAAGAAGAAACAACCCTTTTTGGCAATCAAGAAAAAGTAAAAAGCCAAACTATCTTTGTGTCAGAGGACCTGGTAATATTCCCTGGCTCGAGCCCTGGCTGGTGGCTTGGCAAGTACTGAAGGGAGAGCTCTGCACACAATGGACTGTTTCGTGTGCTTTTCTTACTTAGAAGCCTACCAGAGGGTGTAATTGATACTGAAGTAAGGTGTAGTGGGGATTCATGTATTTATATCACCTGTTAATTTCACAGTGGAGTACAGGTCCTGGTTGGGTCCATGGATCCACAAGTTCAAGCTTTTGCTAAATTTGAATTGCCTTCCCATGGTGTATATGGTAAAGGTTGTTGGCTAATTAAGGGTGGTTTCCAAATCAGGGTTTTGTACATACAAAATACTCTGTTATTTTCTCATCTGTTTGGACCGGTCACCTGATCCAGTATTAAAATGCTGAAACAGGAGAGGAAACCTCTTCTTGAATCTTTCATGTGAAGAATGCACAGGAACTCACCAAAGCCAGGATTAGGAAAGCTGTGCTTAAGGAACTGAGCTAAACCAGTTCAGTCCCTATAGGATGTAGATAGCAGAAAATGTTTCCTTACTGTGGCATTTACACATCACTTGATATATGGATCAAAGTGTTATATGGAGAATGAGAAGTGGAGAGTGCTGTAGAATGTTTATGGGAGGGAATTCTCCCTGTCTGTTCTCCCTAGTGAGACTCACCTGCTGTGCTGCCTCAGCTCTGGGGCACCAACACCAGATGGATGTGATGCTGCTAGAGTGAGTCCAAAGGAGGCCATAGAGATGCTCCATGGACCTTTGTCATGGATACAGACTGGGAGAGCTGGGGGTGTTCAGCCTGGAGAAGGTTCCAGGGAGACCTTCTAGGACCTTCCATTGCCTAAAGGGGGGCTTAAGAAAAGAGGGAGGGTGGCTTCTTACACAGGCAGATAGTGATAGGACAAGGGGGGAACAGTTTTGAACTAAAGGAGGAGAAATTAAGATTGGATATTAAGATGAAAGGTCTTCCCTATGAGGGTGGTGAGGCACTGGCACAGGCTGCCCAGAGAAGCTGTGACTTCCCCATCCCTGGAAGTGCTGAAGGCCAGGTTGGATGGAGCTCTGATCAACCTGGTCTAGTGGGCGGTGACCCTGCCCTTTGCAGGAAGTTGGAACTAGATGAGCTCTAAGGTCCCATCTAATGGCTTCTATGAACCCACATTCCATTAGGCAGTGGCAGTTGGAACCAGCTGCAGTGGCAGAAGCAGAGTTTTCACACACTGCGCAAATCCCTCTTGCGAGTCCGGAGGAGTGTGGATCGAACTGAAGCTGCTACAGCTGAAACTAAACATTTTCAATATCGTTGATCCAGTGGGATCGTTTCCCTTTCCATACCACTGCTTAAACCACTGCTGACTGCAACCTGGTGTCAGCTCCTTACAGAGAGAACATGTTGCTTGGTCAATATACATCAATGCTTTAAGCTCCTGGAGGAAAAGAGACTCTCCAAATCAAACTGATGTTGCTTTGTATTTTGTGATCGTGTACCACAATAGTTCTGCAGTGTTTTAAGGGCAAAGATTTGACTCTTCTCCTGAGGATGGAGGAGAGGATTAGAAGTCTTTGATAATGGCCAAGTGTTGGGTGAATTGGGGAAGAACTCAGAAAGGAGGTACAGCAGCTTGGCAACAGGTAGAGGCAGCACACTAGCTCCTTAGATTTCTCTGTATTCAGTAAGTGTTTGGGGAGGGAGGATGGTAAAACTGGGAATTACGTGTGTGCTTTATCCAAATCATTGGGCACCAGCTGATTCCAGGGCTGATGAATCCTGGGCTGTGTTGCCAATCCATTGCAAGTCAGGACTGATGTCAGCTTGGGCCTGGTGGAGTAAGGGTCTCTGTTCTTTGTTCCTTCATGCTCTTGAGGGCAGGTGTGAACTACCCAGAACCAGATGTCTACACACTGACATTTGTTTATAAACACTTCCTGCATTGGTGATCCCTGATAAGGGTTTATCCTTAACCATGGACTCAGACTGCTGAGTCCCACCTACTGAAATGAGGTGATAGGACCTGAGAACTAAGGGTAGACACCAGTAAAAAGATGACTTCTAGCAGTTTGTGAAGAAAAATAGGGTCCTGCTTGGAGGAGCAGTTGGGTAGGTGGAGGTAGAATTGGACTAGTCAGGACTGCTGTGGGGTTTGAACCTCTCCTCATCCAAGCCTGACACTGATCCTGATGTGGCAGGACAGTGTTGGCTCCAGGGCCTGCATCATGTGGCAGTGAATTTTTGAACTGACCCTTGTTGCCTTTCATCACTTAAAATGTTTTTTTTTTTTTTGTTTTGGCCATTCTGTAATGGTTGGTTTGATATCTGATCTTCATGCTTTGAGCTAAATCCTCCTTACCTAGTCCCCTTGTTAGAGGATCTGAAGGTTATGCTTTGTGGTTGCCACAGAGGCAAAGTGAAGCCCCATCACTGTGTCGTGGAGTTTGTCAGCACTGGGCATGTGGTTCTCTTTGTCTTCATTTTTTAGAGCTTATGCCACAAAATCACCACTTTTGGAGGTTATATAAAGAGATGGGAGTTTTCAAAATCCTTTGACTTCCCTGGAAATAGTCTACATGGTACAAGTGGGTGGAGATTTCTGGAGTTTCCAGTGCTGGTGCTCCAGGCTAAAAGGTGGTTACATCCCAGTTTGACCTCAGTTATCCTTCCTGTCCATTTTGAAGGCTGAGACTAGTTAACAGATTTCTTTTTTTGCTGGAATTCTTTTTATTTAATTACTTTTTACTTCCTTAGGATTTTCAACCACAAAGAATAAGCTTGAGCTGAGTCCCCTGAACCCTCTTACTTGCTTTTTTTCCATAGGTTCCTTAGAAAGAGAGCTTGGACGGCATGCAAAGTTGTGAAATATCTGCAGACAGCACGGATGATCCTCTTAGTAGTGGCCTACGGAGCAAGCGACAGCCTCGAATAGTGATTATCGGTGCTGGGCTCGCAGGCCTGTCCGCAGCCAAAGCGCTCCTGGAACGCGGGTTCACACATGTAACTGTCCTCGAGGCGACCGACCGCATCGGAGGCCGCGTGCAGACTGTGAAACTTGGTAAGAGCAGTGCTGGGGCTTTCTCTGTCCTGCTACCGAGACTTTGGGTTGTCATTATGGGTTAGTTTGCCCTTAGAAATGGGATATGTTCACATGCAAAAGGTTATTTGACGTCAGGAATGTAAATCCTTGGGCTCATTTTGGGGTGAGTGGGTGATGCTGTGCTGTCTCATGCATCAATTCCAAGGGAGGGGTGCTCCAAACCCATGTGGCTGTGAAATAAAGATCTGGGTGGTTGTTTTCAGTCATACAAGTAGGAGTTCTGTGTAACAGGTATGTGATTAAGTGTATTGAGGCAGCTTCCACCCAAGTTTTCAAGCCTCACCTGTGCCCAGGAGCAGTCAGTAAATCTCCTGGCTGGCAAACAGCGGTTTCTCAGGGCTTACAGCACTTGCATAGGGGCAACCTCCAAGGTATTCTGCTTCACAAACAACCCCATTCATTTCCCTAGAACTAATTTACTGTGTAGAGTACTACACTCCAGGAATCAGGCTGCTGGGAAAACCTCTTCAATGTATCCTTTCATCCTGATTTGCAGCTTTCCTACCTTTGCAGTTTCCTTTCTCAGTGTGTATTAAAGTCACAGACTCTGAATATTTGAATCGCATGTCAATTGGAAGGGCTTGTAAAGTCTCTAAATGCTAAACTCTTGGAACAAGCGTTGCCCTCTGCAGCCCAGGAAGCAATGACATTTTTCCTGGTGTATAGCAGGACCTCATCTATCTCTTCTCTGCAGGAGCCAAAAAGCTCTCTGTTGTTGCTGAATTGCCTTCCTGATTTCAGTTAACTAGTGATGATTCTGACCCTACTCTCTGGACTTACTACCTTTGGCCTCTTGCTGCCTTGTTTTCTTTTTATTTCTTAGGTACTTACATCACTTACTGTATTTTTGTCTGTCAACTCACTGTAGTAAGCAAACAGCAGTGTCCTATGAACTTGCAGAAGGGAAATGAATGGAAAGGCAGTTGGACAAATCTAATCACCAGGGTTTGAATAGGGCACTTTACATTCTGCTGAGACTTGGCATAGAGCTTGGAATGGGAAGTGTGTCCTTTACTCACAATCCGCTGTGTTAAAAATATCCTGGATCATGCCTGAGAGAGGAGGGAAGTGCCAAAGAGCTGAAGCCTTCGGGGAGCAATAGGTCTTTCTGCCAGTGCACCTGTGAAATAGTTTTGGTGTATTAGTATTGAGACTGATTCTCTCACCTTTGGCCACCTTCACCAAGAACTTATACCTTTGCCTTTGCTGGAATCCACCTTCTGTTCATTAACACTCCTTAATTAACACAAGACAGGAACAGGCATTTCAGTCTGGAGTAAACCTCACAGTTTGCAGATATAAATGTTATTTGCAGAGAAGAGACTGGAATCCAAAGTCTTGATCTTTTAACACCTTTCCTAAAACTATGAACTGTATTTTCTTACCTTTGGGAAACTCTCAAGTTTGCCCTGTGGGTGTGGACTGCAGTTCTCTCCCAAGGTGGGTCCCTGTTCTGGCCCCTTGAGGACTTTGCAGATTCACATGCCCTTTAGCCAAACAATTTTGGACCTCTCTTGGGTGGTGAAGCAGCACATACTCAGAGCCTCCCTTACTCCCAGGTATGAGGGCCTGGGCCTGGCCTGTGTTTTCTTCTGTGCTGTCTGGAGCAGGAAGATAGCACCAGGGACTTGCCAGACTTGCTAATTTCTCAGAACTGGCTAAAGACATAAAAAAACTGTTAAAGAAGTGGTTCTTCTGGGCCTTCAACACACAGCCAGTTTATCTGCATGTCTAAATGGCATTTAAATGTTAAGCTTCTCTGGCTGCTCCCCTGTCTGCACACTTGACTAAAGATCTGATTTAAGTCTTGAGCAGAGCTATGAATGAGGAAGAATTTCTTGCTTGTGAGGGTGGTGAGGCACTGGCACAGGTTGCCCAGAGAAGCTGTGGATGCTCCATGCCTGGGAGTGTTCCAGGCCAGGTTGGGTGGAGCTTGGAGCAACCCGGTCTAGTGGAAGGTGTCCCTGCCCATGGCAGGGAGTGGAATGAGATGGTCTTTGAAGTCCCTTCCCACCCAAACCAGTCTGTGATATAATGACACCTTCTCAGGGTTATACCCTAGTCCTTCCACTCCCGCTGAGCCACACTGTCTTGTAGGGGACACTGTTTTCCTTCAGGCACATAGAGTACACTCAGCACAGCAGGATAATTTGGATTTTCAGAGATTTGGTTCATCTCTAGCACAGGCAAGGCAGAGGGTTTGTGTGTTTATAGATTGTGTTTCTTAGAGATATGATAAGTCATGTGCATCCACTGCAGATCTTTTATGACAGGGTACCCATGAAATAGTGAGGGCTGCAAAATGAAATGTGAAAGTTGCTGTGTGTATTCAGGAGGTTTGATGCACAATCTGTGTTCCTTTGGTTTTTTTCAGTTGTGTTGGATGATTTATTCAACGTAGATTAATATTGAACTTAGTAATCTTAGGTTTTAGACACTGGAATGGACTGCCCAGAGTGGTGGTGGAATCACCATCGCTGGAAGTGTTTAAAGAGAGACTGGACATAGCACTTAGTGCCATGGTCTAGTTGACATGGTGGTGTTAGGTCATGGGTTGGACTTGATGATCTCAGAGGTCTTTTCAAACATGATTAATTCTGTGATTCCGTGATCTTTTAAGGCCCTGAAAGTAAATTAACTATCTCTGTTTAAAAGGCTCTTATTTCACTTTACACTTTTAAATAATTCATCATGTAACTTACACTAGGTAACAACCAGCTTATCTGCTTGGGAGTGAGTTTAAATACTACTGGCAAGAATTACTGTGTTTAATTTATTGGAATTTGATTGTATTTCACACAGCTCCTGAAAAGAGGAGAACTTAGAACACATCATACTTGTTCCCCAACACAAGTACAGAAGGACCTGCTGGCTTGCTTCTTTCTTTCAAAGATCAGGTGTGCACAGGAGGATTGCTGTGGAGCAGAGAACAAGCT